CGCGACGGGGGGAGCCGGTGGGGCGCGCGGCGCAGGCCGATGAGTTAAGCAGCCGCAGCCGCCTGGTGCCGGAGCCTGGGTCGCGCCATGCCGTCTGTGCCGCTGCCGCCCAAGGAGAGCAACCTTTTCAAGCGGATCCTGGTGAGCCCCCGCCCCCGCCTTTGTCTGGCGCGGGGCCTCGGGCTCCCCCGCCGCTGTCACAGGCGGGTGGTGCAGCGCCCGGGCCCTCCCCCCTGCTCGGCCCCGGTGCGGGCGGTGACCCCGGGGGTCTCGAGTGAAGGGGACCTAATCCCAGTCTTTTCAGCTCCCCCCGTAACTACATGCTCGGGGCTGTTTGGGTCGGAGGGGGCAGGGCAGGGCAGTCCCGGCCCGAACAAAGCTGTGGGGTGGGGAAGTCGGTCACCTTTGTCAGCAGCTCCCCAATCACGCAGCAGCGCGGGGTGAAACGACTGGCTCTTCCCCGGTTCCCTGTGCTACGAAATCGGAGATCGGAGTGAGTCCTAGAAAGTGAGGGTTGGAAGGGGCCTCTGGAGTCATCTAGTTTGACCCCCTGCTCCAAGCAGGACCCTCTTCAACTAGATCATCCTGGCCAAGGCTTTGTCTAACTCTGTCTTAACCTCCCAGGATGGAGCTTCTACCACCACCTCTCTGGGCGACCCCTTTCAGTGCTTCACCACCTTCCTAGTGAGAGAGTTTTTCTTAATATCCAACTTACACCTCCCTTGCTGCAACTTAAGACAGTTGCTCCTTGGTCTGTCATCTGGCCCCACTGAGAACAGTCTGTCTCTGTCCTCTTTCAAACCCCCCTTCAGGTAGTTGAAGGCTAAGATCTAGAAGCATAAATGCTGCTCTGATTTAGTTAGTCTGTCACGTGTAAATCTATCCTGGTCAGGGCTGACAACCTCCCCATGTGAGTCTCTGCCACCAGAGGAGCTTCGTGCCCTAGCATTCACAATAGCATGGAATTTAGAGACTAATTCACTGGGTTGCTGTTAGAGTAGACAGCTTAGTAAGAAGCCCAGAAGTAACAGATCAGCTGCTTGCCGTGTGTGCAGTTAGGAGAGCCTGTTGGGTGCTTATCTGGATGCTGTCTTTTGGTCACTTAAGAGAACACTTTGCTTTTAAAAGATCTTAATAGGTCTTAATAGCGGGTGTGCTGCTTACTGCATGGTAATGGTATGCATCTTACCAAGCTGCTCTAGCACTCCTCTTTCTCTCTTTGCTAAAAATAAGTTACTAATTTTAGAACGGTTGAGTGACTATTCTTACTAGTGGCAAGCAAGCTTCCCGTAGTAGTCACTTACCAATTTTGTAAGAACAAAATGTATAGTAAGAATTTCTAAGCTAGTGCATTTTTAGATTAGCTATTTTATAGTTCAGTCTTTGCTTTTTAGGTGGGGAGCAGTGAATTTAAACTCAATGTCTCAGTTCAGAAGAATGGGAACTTGCTTCCTTTCTGAAAGATGACCTGATGAGATCTGTTGTGGG